ATATTATTATTATTATTATTATTATTATTATTATTATTATTATTATTATTTTTGAGAGAAAACGATATATCTACTATCTATCTACTCGCAAATTATGTCATGGAATCGTGTTCACCGAGAATGGTGAACACAAGGCAAAACGACGTCGTTTTTAGGCAAAAAAAAAAAAAAAAAAAAATTTTGCAGATGTGGAGTTAACGGCGCGCGTTTGATCAAATTATGAATTTTCTGTTATGAGATTATGAATTTTATGAAAATTCATAATCTCATAACAGAAAATTCATAATCGCATAACAGAAAATTCATAATCTCACAATGAAAATTCATAATCTCATAACAGAAAATTCATAATCTTATAACAGAAAATTCATAATCTCATGGTTCCAAAGTGAATGTGCAGGCATGGTTCCAAAGTGAATGTGCAAGCATGGATTCATAATTTATGAATGTCCGTGATTTCGGACGGGAATGTGTAGGCATGGTTCCAAAGTGAATGTGCAGGCATGAATTCATAATTTATGAATGTCCGGAATTATGAATGTAATGAAAATTCATAATCTCATAACAGAAAATTCGTAATCGCATAACAGAAAATTCATAATCTCATAACTGAAAATTCATAATCTCATAACAGAAAATTCATAATCTTATAACAGAAAATTCATAATCTCATGGTTCCAAAGTGAATGTGTAGGCATGGTTCCAAAGTGAATGTGCAGGCATGGATTCATAATTTATGAATGTCCGTGATTTCGGACGGGAATGTGTAGGCATGGTTCCAAAGTGAATGTGCAGGCATGAATTCATAATTTATGAATGTCCGAAATCTTTGTTTACCTCAAATTAAAGTGAAACCGCAAAATGTGAAAATAAAGAAGAAAAGTCACGCAATTAAAAAAAAAAAAAAAAAAAATAACGGTGTACTAACACCGTTGGAACCGTGTTCACCATGAATGGTGAACACGGTTCCATGGCATAACGTCCCCTATCTACTATCTACTATACTAATAAGAGCCCAAGAGAGTTAGGCCTATAATTGGTAGAAAAAATGGCGGTCAAATTTTTTAATCAAATGAATGACTCAGATTGATCAGATTTTAATTTTTCCTTAAGATTTCCTAATTTACCCTTAATGAATGTGATTTTCCGTTAACTTTTTCGTTAAATATTATCTTTTCCGTTAATTTCTGTTAGTTCACCGTTAACTTACTCATTGATTTTAATAAGAATTTAAAGGTATACTAATAAGAGCTCAAGAGAGTTAGGCCTATAATGGGTAGAAAAAATGGCGGTCAAATTTTTTAATCAAATGAATGGCTCAGATTGATCAGATTTTAATTTTTCCTTAAGATTTCCTAATTTATCCTTAATGAATGTGATTTTCCGTTAACTTTTTCGTTAAATATTATCTTTTCCGTTAATTTCTGTTAGTTCACCGTTAACTTACTCATTGATTTTAATAAGAATTTAAAGATCTTAGGTTCGAACCTCATCCCAATCAAAGTTGGCATAATTAGTACTCTATTTTACTCTTATTAAATTAACTAGTTCTTTTACGCGCATTGCGTGATTGGGATAATGCCCAATGTTTTTTTTTTTTAAATAAATACTTTAAAGTATATCAAGGAAAGATTATATTGAAATTGTTCATGCATAGATAATTGAATGTTAAATTTGTGTATTTAAATAGGCAATTCTAAGTTTACAAATGCAAGATAATATAGTCAAAATTGATTATAATTGTCAATGAAATAATTCTATAGTAAGGAGAGAAAATAAAAATTAGGGCACAAAATATTAAATATATACTAATATTGAAGAGCCAACTCCTGATTGCCAAACAAGGACATTGCGAGATAGTTTCCACTTCAATTTGTTATATGATTTGAATAATCTTTTTGTCAATAAATTCCCAAAGTAGTTAATATGTGATTGATTTAATTATATTTTTTTATTTCTTTATTTTTTAAAAACAATTATTATTATTATTATTATATATTTTTAATTTTTTAATTGTATTAATAAAATACTTGGTAAATAAATATATAGCACTATTTTATATTATAACTTTGATATTTAATTAAAAAATAGTGCACAAAAAAAGATAATAGACAATGTAGTGAATATAATCAATTGATGAATTTGTACATTGGACAAATATAAAGACAATATAACTAATAAAATTATTTCTCTTAACTAGTTTATTGATAATGAATAAGTTTTTTAATAAAGACATTGTAGGGACAATGTAGCAAATATAATCAATTGATGAATTTGAATGTAAAGAATTTTTATATTGGAGAAAAATAAATACAATATAACTAATGGAATTATTATTTTTATTTAATTTATTGATAATGAATAATTTTTAATACATATCATTTTTTAATTTAGAATTATGTGTCTGCAATGTCTTTATTTTCAAAAAAAATTATTCATTATCAATAAATTAAATAAGAGAAATAATTTCATTAGTTATATTGTATTTATTTTTCTCCAATATAAAAATTCTTTATATTCAAATTCATCAATTGATTATATTTGCTACATTGTCCCTACAATGTCTTTATTAAAAAAATAATTCATTATTAATAAATTAATTAAGAGAAATAATTTTATTAGTTATATTGTCTTTATATTTCTCCAATGTAAAAATTCTTTACATTCAAATTCATCAATTGATTATATTCACACATTGTCTATTACCTTTTTTTGCACTATTTTTTTTAATTAAATATCAAAGTTATAATACAAAATAATGCTATATATTTATTTACCAAGTATTTTATTAAGAGTTAATAACCAAAATGATCCCTCGACTATGTTGTAATTACCAATTTGATCCTCAACTATCATTCTTACCCAATTAAGTTCTCAACTATACAATCTTTACATGATTTAGTCCTCTTAATTTATCAGTTTGTTGACCGTTAAAATGGGGGGCAAAACTGTAATTCTATAAGCATTCTCCCATTCTTCCCCAAGCGAAGCAGCCGAGCTCCTGAACCTGACTTAAGGGTGAGATGGGTGATGATGATGAGCCTTTAGGCGAAGCAGCACCAAAAGCGTATCTCGATAGTGAATTTTGGTTCCTCATGACCCTGTTTTAGCTTGACATGCAAAGCAGAATATATTCTGCACTTCCCTTTCATTATGTACTTAATCCAAAGTAATTACTATGCAAGATCACAATAATCAGTCAGATCATCAAAACTGTGGAGCATCAAAATTAAAGGGTTCAACACATACATGGAAAATTACAACGGCTTCTACGAGCAGAACCTGAGTGCTGGGGATTTTGGGGGTCCTGATGGGCGGTAACCGAGAGTGAATCTTGGAGAGTGAATCTTCTAGAGACCACTCCTAGCCTCTTCCGCTGCTTGGGATTGACTCACACTAAGGCAGCGTCGCTGGAGGGAGGATGTCGCCGGTCTACTAACGCCGCTACGACGTCACCGCTGTAACAGATAATTCTTCCGCTGCTTGGGATTGACTCACACTAAGGCCGCGTCGCTGGAGGGAGGACGTCGCCGTTGAAGGGAGGTTGCCGCCGGTCTGCTAATGCCGCTGCTTGGATTCACTCACACTAAGGCCACGTCGCTGGAGGGAGGACATCGCCGTTGAAGGGAGGTCGCCGCCAGTTTGCTAACGCCGCTATGACGTCGTCGTCGAAGGGAGAATCTCCTATGGTCAACGTTGCCGTTGCTGGAGGTTGCTGCCTGGTTGACGCCGGCGCAGATATTTCTTTGGAAAAAGGGAAAAGCTTTTAGAATTACCGTTTTGCCCCTGATTTTAACATTAACAAACAGAGAAATTAACGGAGGATCAAATTAGGTAAAAATTTCATAGTTGACGACTTAATTGGGTAAGAATAATAGTCAAGGATCAAATTGGTAATTACAACATAGTCGAGGGACCATTTTGGTTATTAACTCTTTTTATTAATACCATGAAAAAATAAAAAATAAAAATATATAATTAATAAAGCTAATCATATTAATTACTTGAAGGATTTGTTGACAAAGAGACTATTCAAATCACACAACAAATTGAAGTGAGAACAACTTCGCAATATCATTGTTTGACAATTAGCAGTTAGCGGTTAGCGTTAACGGATTATATTAGCGAATTTGACCAGCGAATTATATCAATGGTTGGTAAAAAGATATTTGAAAAAATTAATTGTTTAGATTAACATGTAAAATGACCTAAGGGTATGATATAATAACAATAATAACAATAATAATAATAATAATAATAATAATAATAATTGTTTTAAAAAAATAAAAAAATATAAAATATAATTAAGTCAATTATATTAACTACTTGGGAGATTTATTGACAAAAAGAGTATTCAAATCATACAACAAATTGAAGTGGGAAACTATCACGCAATGTTCTTGTTTGACAATCAGTAGTTAGCTCTTCAATATTAGTATATACGGAGAATTTAATAATTTATGCCCTAATTTTTATTTTCTCTCCCTTATGTCCTGTGTTTGGTTTCAACCATACCTATACAATTATTTTATTGACAACTATAATCAATCTTGACTATATTATCTTGCATTTGTAAACTTAGAATTGCCTATTTAAATACACAAATTTAACATTCAATTATCTATGCATGAACAATTCCAATATAATCTTGCATTGATATACTTTAAAATACTTATTTAAAAAAATATTGGGCATTATCTCAATCGCGCGTAAAAAACCTAGTGTATATATATATATATATATATATATATATATATATTAAAGGGAGTCTAGCTCCAAATCATGAACAACAAAAAGGTAAGGGGTTGAGAAACAGTCGGAGCAATCAAACTTAAATAAGACCTCTCGAATTAACAAATGAACGACCCTATTCGTAGATTGTTTAGCGAACACAAAATTAGATTTTTAAAATCTCTAGCTATGTTTTGAATGTCTTGCAAAATAATAATAAAGGTATTTAAAATAGTTGTAGAGGGCAAAAATGTCTTACTACATTACCATTGCAAGAAAATCACATAACAATCCCATTCAATTTAGTACCAACACTTTAAACACTTGTCCAAACTAATAAGAAAAAAATTATAACTCATTTGATCAAAGTAAAGTCCCAATTATTATCCCACATGAAACTAATAACCATTACATAAAAAATGCTATTAAAGCATCATATCGAAGGTATTCAAACCCTCTAATGGCGGGTCGAGAGATAAATCCATTGGCATCACTGCAATCAATCTCTAGGCCTCTCACTCAAACTCAACCAAAATGATCAACCTCTCTCATTGATCCCCTCACATTCCCCATATCCTCAATCAATCTGTTCTGGAGATCAATAAACTTGACCCTGACCCGAGTTACCTGTTGTCTGAATCCAATGAGAGTCATAACCTAAAATAGCATGCTCGTTTTGAGATTCCATTCTGCATAACCAAGAAATATTTTATATACTTAAAAGTGAACAAGGTAACATGGAAGAGTATCCAAGAAATATCAAACTGGAATAAATGAACACTTACTCATTCTTGTATGTTTTAGATACAAGCAAAGATTTTCACTCCCCATTTTATAAACAAATAAGATGAGAGCCTTTAGCTTAAAATGATACCACGTCAACAAAATCACCCCAACTAAGCTTTAAAATCAGTGAGTTTATTTGTTGTAAGCTAATTCTCAAAGATGTCATGGGCCGAATCAATGTAAATAAAAATACTTAACGGAAGAATAAAGGCTGGAAATTTGTTGAGATCCCAAACTCCCTGGGTTTTTCCCTTAAAATTTCTGCTTGCCTTTATTACCAATTCTTCCTCATATAATAAGAGGGTACAATGATTCCCATGCAAACAGAAAGGAACCTTTTAGAAACCAAACTGCAAAGTAATCCAAATAATCTAAATATAAAATGTGCTCTAACTAAATACTACTCGAACACAACATAATAACAAAATAATAATAATGACCTGGATGTGATTACAGAGAGACACAGTATCTTTTCTTGCGCTCCCTTCAATTGTAAGTATATCCCCAAAATGCATAAGAGTTTGACAACTTTTTGAAAATGAAAGTGCAACCATCATTTTTAGTCATCACAAGACTAATATGCAAAGTTGGTTGCTAGAATGGCAAATACATTATTTGGTAAACATATACCATAAGAATGCAAAAAACAAAAATTTTGACTTCTTCTATGTTGTCACACCCTTGACTAACCTAGTATTCAAGCACTTAACCACCCATCAAAAGTTGTGAAAAACCATAATTCAGTGAAAACTGCTACATTATGAAAAGTTAGTTTCTCAGGCTGCTAAGAAGGTAATTAAATAGATGTGAGCTTCCATACTCATCCTTCAAAGTCTGAGAACACTGGGGCATTACTTCACACAACCCTCCATCCATTTATTAGAAAAGGAACACACATAATCCTATGCAACTATGCACCAATCACATAAACAAACGAGCTTGTTCACGAGTTCTTAGCAAACGTGCCTACAACTGTTCAGACCCTGTTCGTTTATGAACCGAGCTCTAAAATTTGTTCATTTATGTTTGTTTACCTTAATAAACGAACATTTACCGAATACGAATACGAATACGAGTAGTTTACCGAAAGCTCTGTTTGCTGAATACGAATACGAGTAGTTTACCGAAAGCTCTGTTCGCTAACACCCATGGAGCTTACATACTCATCCTTCAAAGTCTGAGCACACTGGGGCATTACTTCACACAACCCTCCATCCATTTATGAGAAAAGGAAAGCACATAATCCTATGCAACTATGGACTACATTGTTTAGCTAAATGCCTAAAAATACAGAGAAAAAAAATTAAGATAGTAAATTGAAAATATTTTCAATGCAACAAATTTATAAATTCTTGAAAATATCATAATTTTATAAAATCTTATATAGTTGAGCAGTTTAGGGTGCATATGCAAACCCATAAAGGGTTCCACCTTTATAGATGAAAATGCAAAGTTAAGTTAAAGAAAAAAGATATAGTTCTGGAATAATCATTGAGAAAATCAAATAATCAAATAATCAAATAGTCATATAAAAATATTACCACAAAATTGGAGAAGATTTTGAATTGCCTTGTTGCTTCTGCATCTCTTGCTTCTGTTTCTCAACAACTTTATCAAGCGCAGAATGCAGAGCGTCGCGACCCCCAATCAGCAAACGTGTGATAACTTCCGGGTCCCTTTCGGATAGGGCCTCCTCGAATTCCTTCCGGGTGTTCTCTCTAAGAATATCACGCCAGAGAACGCCTCGGGAGTCAGGCCACATGAAGAAACGGGTAGCCCGGATAATGTCCCTGTAGAGACTAAGCGCCTCTCGGCGAGTGCTGGTGAGCCACTGGCGGGTCAGGATTTCATTATCGTTGTCGTTGAGACTCTTCCTCTCCTCCTTGACGATGTGCCGATCGAGAAGCTCCTCCACAGTGTCTGGCCCGTGGTGCAAGCGGCGGGGCAACCCGTATTGGACGGTTCGGACCTTCCTGAAAAGATGGATCGCCAAGGTTCGAGATGCCATGGTTTCTCCGTTCAGCGGTCGGGGTAGAAAAATCTTGAAATCAACTAATCCAAAAACCCCCAAAAAGCAAATGATATAGGAGATAAGAATTCGTTGCCTAAGCTCTTTTAAGTGACAGCTTATAAGAATTTGTCGCCTAAACTCTTTTCAGTGACAGCTTTGTCACTGGTAATCGTCTATGGTGGCCTGGAAGGTTCTTCGCCATTTGTTTACTAGGGATCCATATATGTTTGATAAGACTGATATAGCATTTATATTCAAGAAAAAATTAAAAATAAACTAAAAAATATAATCTACAGCAAACTAGCAAAGTCCTATAATAATATTTACTTTTCTGACCAGATTTATATGAAGAAGTGGGAGGGGGTTGCCACAGGTTTAAACTTCTTCGTCTAACTTTAGACAAAAATGGTCATGACCATGAAAGAAGATATTTAAATTTTGTTGGAAAAAAAGCACAAATCGCTACTTTGGTAGCTATTTGCTTAAAAACAAAAAGAAAAATTTGTCCAAGAAGATGAGGATTAATTTGTAATTTATACTAAAATTATGTAATACAGAAATGTATTAAAAATACACCAAAATCAATTGAAGTATCAATAGGAGTAGTTATCCCTAATGATATTCCAAACACAATATAATGCAATAAATAAAGCACCAAATAAGTACACAGTTGTAATTCGATAACGAAGTTGGAGAACACCTCCTAATCTACGGGGCCACGCCCAAAAACTTTTTCACTCAAGATCAACCCGCGGTTTTTAAAATTACAAGGTTGAATGATTTACAAAACTAGGTCTATCACATATTTAAGCATTAACCTTATAAAGCCATCACTATTTCATCACACAGAGAGATAACTAGTTGGGACAATACTTGAGCTCCATACAACCTACAGTACTACATTACCATTTACCATTGCAAGAAAATCACATAACAATCCCATTCAATTTAGTATCAACACTTTAAACACTTGTCCAAACTAATAAGAAAACAATTATAACTCATTTGATCAAAGCAAAGTTCTAATTATCCCACATGAAACTAATAACCATTACATAAAAAATGTTATTAAAGCATCAAAGGCAGGGGCGGATCTAAGATTTTATTTGAGTGGGGGCAAAGTTAATTGAACCATAACTTAACCATATATATATATATATATATCATTAATTAATCAAACCTCACATTCTGAATCAAATACAATTTTTTCAAGGGATAGAAAAACTACAATCTTTTCTCTCATTTAATCTTCAATAATTTTCTACGGAATGCAAGTTCATATTGTTAAGCCTAAGCAAAAATTTACATTAGAAAATGGTACAAGAAACATTCAATATTCTATATACTTTGTATTACAGTGACACAATATACATAAAACATTGAAGATTGAAAATTTAGGGCAAACTAATTAAGAGAATAAGGTTGAAGATTGGTTTGAACCTGAGCAATGGGCTGTGGAGTTGTAGTTATAGCGTTGTAGTGGTGGCGGCATGCATGGAGCAATGGGTTGCCAAATGAAGAGTGATGGTGATGATGACAAACATAATTAGAGAAATTAGAGCACTCCTAAGTTCAAAACTGAAAACTTAGGGCAAACAATTCGACAAATTAAGATTTATAGGAAGGGGGTGCAACCGGAGAGAACAACGAACCTGAGGTTGTGAGGTCTGAGCGGCTAAGCAGTAGTAGCCGAGCAGCGAGCCAGGCAGCCAGCGACGGTCGGAGACGAAGCCGGTGACTGGCGAGGCAGAGGCAGAGCGACAGAGCGGTTATTCCGGTGAAATGTGAAACTGTCGCGACAGAGGCAGAGCGAAGAGGGGTGAGAACTGGGGCTGAAACTTTGGAATAATGAATTGAAAATTTATATATATATATATATATATATATATATATATATATATATATATATATATATATATATATATATATATTTATATTTATATATATATATATATATATATATATATATATATTAGGATCATATGAAAACACTTGTTTAGGTGAGAACAAATTGTGTGCATTCATATAATTAATTTTAATGGTCTAGATTATGTGTGTGCTAACGCAGACTAAATGTGTGCAAACGCGATTAAGTGATGCGATTGATCTAGACCATTAAATAATATTAGATGGACGCACATGATCTGTTCTCACGATCTCACCTAAGCAAGCGTTCTCATTGGAACCCTCCTATATATAGGCTAATTTTCTAGTGCACTCCACTCTTAAAGTGTGAACCATGTGCACTCATCTGGTGCATTGATTTTGTGCATCTCACTGCCCAAAATAAACGACTTCCCCTTACGACGCATCGGCACACATGTTGCACGCGGGGCATATGCGGTATTCCCTTTTGTTGTTTAGTTTGCGTTGGACTTGAATTCTTTCACTTACGCAAGTTTCCCAATTTTCACGTCTCTACGCTCCCTGACTCCTCTCTGACTTCAGGACAATGGTTACGTATGGTGAAGAAATTCCGGCGCCTGTCGCGGCTACAGGTTCCGTTCCCCTTCCCCATACTTTTTTTATTATTTTTTTTTGTTGTGTCGGCATTTGGTATCCCATCCGTGGACTGCCGGGGTACGTGTGACAACCCAAAATTTATTTTATAAATTCGTTTTTCAGAAAATCCAAAATAGTAAATTTTCACTCCATAAAAAATTTTTACGAAGAAAACCGTGTTGAATAAATTAATTTGAGCCATTTTAAATTTGATTCGACACCGAGAAGGGATTTAATTTCCAATAGCCTAAAATTTTGGGTACATTACGTGCCAAGTTTTAAACTGAGAAACCTAACTGAGTGAAACTGGGAGAATTCTGAGAAGCTTTAACCAAGTGTGCATCTAGAAATCATTTTGGGACAATTCCATTTTCAACCCCAAACTATTTTAAATAGCAATTCTAGTCTTGGTCCATGAAGCATGGTAGACCATCCAAAAGCTTCATCCTGATTCATCTTTTAGCAAGCTACTTTACCTTTTTGCCCTCCACCAATCACGAGGGATCATCCTAGGGTTTTGTGTCTCTATAAATAAGAACTCTATCAGACCATTTGCGTCTTGATTCCACTCTTTGCTTCCCACATTTCAGCTTTGCAAATCAAGAGGCAACACAGTAAGTTTCATCCTCCTTCTCCATTCAATCCTAGCCTTCCATTTCCTTCTAGCTTTCATCCATTCTCTAAGGTTCTAGCCTTAAGCTTTGTGTGGTTTGTTTGAGTTGTTAGGAGGTGAAGAAGAGGGTAGCTAGCTTGGGAAGAAGGTGGAATCCCAGCTCAAGAGAAGAAGCTTCAAAGGTATAACACATGGATTCTCAAAGCTTTTAAGACTCTGTGAAGTCTTTCTTTTGAGTAGAAATGTTAGATATTTGAAGTGTTTGAGTTATTACATGATCTATTGTTGGTTTATGAGATGTTGTTGATGTTTTGGATGATTTAGAAATGCCTGAGTTGTGTTTGCAGATGAGAAGAAGGCATCTGGTGCACAGACGGTGTGCACCAGTAGGCCTAACGGCCCACCAGGGGACCGTTGGCTAGGACCGTGGCCAACCGGGCCTAGGGAACGACCCTAGAAGAGGGCCGTTGCCTAGAGCCGGCTTTTAGGCGGTCTGAGGGGCGGGCCTAGTTGAGCCCCGCCCCAAGCTCCGTTGAGAGGCTCCTGTGCAGTGGCCGGGCTCTTGTGGTTCAGCTACATGTCGTTTCGGATGGGGTGTCGCGGGCCCTTGTGGCTCGGTACCTCGGGGCCGTCTTGACGCACGTTTTGGCTTTGATTTCGTTGAGTTTGGAGAAGATTTGAGCCTTTTATGCTAGTTTTTGTAGAATTAATTGTTGTAGAGGTTTGGTTGGAGAAGTTCACTGTGAGTGTGTTTAAGTGTATCAGACTTTGAGTATTTATTTGCTGAGCATGTTAATGTTTGATTGATACATAGAGAAGCATGATCTTTAATAGTTGAGTTTAGTTAGCAAAGCATGTCTAAAATGTATACCATGATTCACTCAAATTATTGCCAAGTTGTTAGTTGATGTAGTGAGCAAAGTTTGCCTATCTTGAAAGTATCTTACAGTAAATGAGTTCTTTGAAGCATTTTGAGTTCCAAAAGCATGTTAATTACTTGCTAAGTGTTTATTGAGAAGATTTGTTAAGTCATGAGTTTCAAGCATAAATTATTGGATTGTTTGAGTTTCACAGTGAATAGAAGTTAGAAGCATATTTTACAGCAAATGTCATTATTGAGCATATCATGTTTTAAAAATGCATAAGTGACCAATGTGAGCCTAAATATTATTTTCCTAAAAACTCATATCCATGTTTGGAAAGTCTTTTATCTTGTTATTTGAGAATGAGTTGAGAAGTCATGTGCTTATTTGCATAAGAAAAGTATTGCATAATTGAGATGCATGAGTGATATTTATATATATATATATATCTATGGTGAGGAAAATAGTATTTTTGGAGGACCCGTTGGGACTATGTCCTTTTGGAGTAAAAGAGAAAGCAACGGACATTGTGATCCGATATCATGTAACGAGGCGTATTCCCATGTTACGAGGTTGGAAACTTCCCGCCAGGCTTGGAATCCTGGTCAGGGGTTGTGCACACTGATAGTTCGATACCTGATTCCACAGAGTATGAGTATTGGAACCACCAGATTGGTACTGTGGGCGGGATGAGAGATTGGCCGGCTAGACGCCGTGCCCAATGGGTTCATTCACAGTATGGTGAAACCTGACCTCGCCCACGAGTAAAGAGAAAGCGAGTCAAGAGACTCAAGAGAAAGAAAGCGAGTCATTGAGACTTAAAGAAAGTGAGTCAAGAGACTCAAGAGAAAGAAAGCGAGTCATTGAGACTCAAAGAAAAGAAAGCAAAGCAAGTCATTTATGACAACAGGAAACCTCCACAGAAAAGTATTCTTTTTGAAAGAGTGTGTGTGTGTGTGTATATATATATATATATATATATATATATATATATATATATATATATATATATATATATATATATATATATATATATATATATATATATATATATATATGACAGGATAATAGGGCTGGCACCCGACCCGGATCACAAATGAGCATTTGACTCAGCATCACATGGGAACCCAACAGGCAGAACTCCAACGGTTAGAATTCCAACAGGTGTCACCTTTATTGTCATTGAAGCCACCTTTGATGCCACCATTGATGAGAGAGAGTTAAAGCCTCAACGCCTCATTCATGACTCTTCATATTCTTGCCGTTAGCTCAGCTCCCCAAGGATGTCTCTTCATGTTGTTACCGTTAGGACCTGGCATAAATAGAACTTCCCTCAGCTGAGCGGGGGGCACACTGTACTTTCTATACTGAGACAAAAGCAATACAACTATTCGTTACTCTTATATTATATTTCCGGTAACATTATTACCGTCATTGGTGCTTTCATTGAGAGCCTGAGTCCAATACTCAAGCAGGCTATGACACACACAACTCATTCCTCTTTCAACAGCAAGCTTGAAAGAATGGTGTCCTGCAGCTCCCATGGTTCCCGCGACGTGAACAATGGCAATGCCTCAGGTGACCTCCGGGACCAACTCATTAACAATCGCGGAGGGGACCTCCAAGAACAGCTCAACAATGGGAGGCCCGGGGACCTTCGAGACCAACTCAACAATGGAGGGGTGAACCAAGCCGTGAACCTCCAGGCGACCGCCGATGTCATTCAGCAAGCAGTGACGGTGACGCTAAATCAGGTGGCGGTGGGACTGCAAGGCCAAGTGCTCCCGCCGCGGCCCCCAGGAAATAAGGGTGGAGACCCAAAGAAGTGGACCGGCCAGACGACAACCAGGCCCTTCCCAATCTGCACCAGAACGATTGGGACAAAGGGCGCCCATGCGGCAAAGATTAGGATCACGGGCCGAGGGATCCTCTACCAGAGGTCCTCGCCAACACGAAAACAGAGAAGCCTAGAAATCACCCACAGAGGAGGTGGGCGAGTCTCGGGAGCCGACCCCACGCCAACACGTTGATGAGTCGGCCTTACGTCGACACTTGGAGGAGCGACGCGTCGAAGAGCCGGCTTCGCGACGGCACTCGGCGGGGAAGCGACGCGTTGATGAGCGGGTTCCACACCGACACTTGGAGGAGCGGCAGCCGGCCCCGCGCCGGCACCCTGATGAGTCGGCCCTGGTCGAGAGGCTGCAGAGAAGAATCGAGGAGTTAGCAAGAAGGGTGGAGGCACGGGAGCAGTCGCCGGAACCCGAGGTACGGATGGCAGCACCATTCTCCCCAAGCATCATGGACGTACCTTTGCCGAGGGATTTTAGGTTGCCCGCCATCAAGGAGTACACGGGGGTCACTGACCCACGAGTCCACATGACGAGGTACAAGGCTGCTATGGTAATGATCGGGGCAGGGGACGCCATCATGTGCCGAGCGTTCTTGTCCACCCTGGATGGAGCGGCCCAAGACTGGTTCAACACCATCCCTGATGGGTCGATCCAAAACTTTGGGGAGTTGTCCAAGAGCTTCCTGACATACTTCTCCGGTAGCATACAGCGTAAGAAACCCTTCTCTCACCTCTGTGTAGTGAAGCAAGATAGAGGCGAGAGCCTCAAAGACTTCCTGATAAAATGGAAAAAGGAAGTCAATAATGTCTACGACTTCGACTCCAAGGGGGCGATCCCGATATTTATCCATGCCTTAAGATCAGGGTATTTCCACAAGCAGTTGAACGCCCACCACCCCTACTCTTACGAAGATCTGATAAGGACGGCTAGCCGCTATGCCGAAGCAGGGGACGTCGACAGGAAGAAGAAGGACGAAGAGGATGGAAGGAAAGGTGGG